TACCTGGGTACTTTCTGTATTTTTTTTTTAATATAGGAACTTGTTGCTACAAACTTTCTTCTTAGAACTGCCTTCATATTGTCTCAGAGACTTTCATATATTGTATCTCTGTTCTTGTTTCTAAGATTTTTTTTAAATTTCCCTCTCACTTATTCCACAACCCTTTCTTTATTCAAAAGTGTATTATTTAATCTCTAGGTATTAAAATGGGGATGGGAATGGGGCAAATTATACTCTATGCCTATACTATTATGTCAAAATGAACCCTATTACTATGTACAACTACAGAGCACTAATAAAAACATTAAAGAAGAAATTAAACTTGAGAGTTTAAATATTTATGTTATTACATACTCATATGTATTATTGAATTCTTTTAAAATAGCAATGAAAAGCATGTTAAAATGGTTTTGATTTGATCACATTATAGATTTCTAATTTTATCTTTTTATAATCTAAAGTATGCAAAGAATTGTTTCTACTATTTGTATTTGCTGAGATTTACTTTGTGTCCTAAAATATTTTAAAGATGGTTCCATGAGCAGCTGAGAAGAAAGAGATTTTGGTTGTTGATGGATGAAATATTTTATAGATGTCTATTAGGTCCATTTGGTTAATAACATTTTTTATTTCTGAAGAATCTTTACTTAGTTTTGATCTGAACCATTATCTATTGGTGAGAAAGGTGTGTTGAAATCACCCATTATTATTGTATTAAGGTATATTTTATTCTTTATGTTGAATAGAGTTTGTTTTTTATATGTAGGTCTATTGACAATTGGGGCATATATATTTACAATCAGTATATCTTGTTATTGAATGATTCACTTAACCAGTGTGAAGTGACCTCCTTTTTCTCTTTTTGACTTGAAGTCTACTTTGCTAGATATGAGTATAGCTATTCCTGCTTGCTTACCTTCTCCATTTGCATAGTATATCTTTTCCATCTTTTCACCTTCAGCCTATGAATATCATTGCCTGTAAGGTGAGTTTCTTGTAAATAACATATAATTGGTTTTTGCTTTTTTATCCCATCAATCTATGTCTTTTGGCTGGAGAGTTTAGACCATTTATATTCAGTGTTAATATAGAGAGATGATTTGTATTTCCTTCCAATTTGATTTATTTTAAATGCTTGATTCTGATTTAATTTGATTCTTCTATCTTTGATGTGTCCAGGTACCTGCAAGCATTCTAGTAGATAATAGGGAATGGATCCTAACTATCTGACTTAGCAGACAGGTTATTTCGTGTGAGGGGGGTGTAGTGTTATGTATCCTCCTGAAGAAAAGCTCCATATATCCAGTGTTGTTAAACCCAGTGGGTTCCCCCATGTATATTTTGGAGAGTGCAGGGTGTGGTGGTCTAAGATAGCGGCATTGTGGTCTCTGTGATATAGCACTGGTTGACCCTTGTGGGGTATAGAACTGCTGCCTACTGTGGAGTCCACAGGTCACAGGTCAGTGGACTTTTATCTGAGCATACTGGTAGTAGCTGGTATCTCTGGGATATTCCTCTGCAAGCTCCTTTATGGGTTGTACTGCATTGTATATATGCTGAAGTTCTGTGCTGGGTGCTTGGGGGTTATCCACAGGAATATTCTTATGTGGATCCATGCATCTGAATGAGATACATCCAGCAATTCTGGAACTCACAGCAGTGGACCCCACTAGAGATGCTGCGGCACCAGAAGTGACTTCCTTTGTTTCTATGATTTTTATTTTTATTTATTTATTTATTTTTACCAGCTGGTGCTTATTAGTCAGCCCAGAGGCCTGAGTCTGTGTGTTTAAAGAATGCTGCATCTGCTGGCTGTTTCTGGATATGGGGAGCAGAGGGCACAGGGATCAGGGCTGTCACTGACTGCCATAAAACACTGAGCATCTGCTTCCCTCTGTGGGGTCTTTTTTATGGCAGCCAAGAGCTGAGTGCAGATTCTCAGTGGGCAGTCTGTGGCACTGAAGCCTCCATCCTGGCTGCTGCGGACCATTGGTGTTTTACCTGTCACTGTGACAGCGGTAGGGTCGTAGTCGGTCATCTTTGCCTCAGCTCTTCTGTGGAGTCCGTGGGAGTGCTGGGTTAGGGCACTCTCCAGGAGTGATCAGCGCTCAGGTCTGTTCCACCCTATTCCCCTTGTCCATAGTGGGGAAGAAGGAAGGGGCTTCTGTAACTTTCATCTAGCAGAAATCCCTCTACGAGTTCCTTCTAGATGGATTACTGAGACAGCCCATTTCAGAGGTGTTCCCTCTAGTTTTATTTGTTACTCTGTAGGTGGGAAGTTGCATTGATTATATTTCTTCTGGCCAGTTGTGGGTGCCACAAAACGACTGTCCTGCCTGGCATAGTGTTCAACCCACAATTTAGAATGAACTTTATGATCTCCTTCACTGTCTTTGCTGCCCCTGTCACAATTTATCTTGGTTTACTTTTTTTTTTTTAATATATAACTTAACTAAGTAAGCTGATGGTATTTTCCTCTCCCTCTTGCTATCTTTGTTACTCCTTCCTACTAACCCCACCCTGATCAGGGTTCAGGGCCAAGGAAGTTTATTTTTATTTTCTGCTCCAGTAACAAAATCCCAAGTCTTTCCAAGTCTCAAGCTGCCTGGTATTGAGTTCTCAAGTGTTTGCTCCATTGTCCACCTCTCTGGTCAGCTGTTCTTTCGTGGTACTGAAGGATCTGATTAAAGTTGAGAAAAACTAAATTCTGTTTGTGGAAAAATAACTTCAGAGAATGTGGAGCACTGAGAAGATGATGTTACTATTATTATTATTTTGCTGGAGAAGCCTCTTGAGAGGGCAGTAATAATGAGTGAGGGACTACTGGCTTGTACCCTCACTGATGGGATAACTAAATTTTAACACCACGTCCCATAGCGGCTTGTAGAACTAAAAAGTTGCAACACTGCCATCTAGTGCTTCACTACGAAAATATTTTCATTTTTATTTTTTCATTCAGTTAACAGTAATGGCTTCAGGAATGAATGATATGAGGCTAAATTTAATAGTTTGACCTGCTCTTTTTGCCGTTTATTTCACCAAAGATGTACTTTTAAATATTTTCCTCCTTTTCTTCCACATTTAAGCTCTTCTTTCTTCTTTGGGTTAGAATAATTGGAGAGGGTGGTATTTCAATTCAGACCTTTTCCCACATTTCATGTTCCAGGCATTACACAGCACAGTATGATCCAGTACCCACTTGGGAAAGCTGAAAGGAATGCTCTTCCCTGATTACTCCCAGCTCCTCTCCCCACAGGCACTTTTTAAAAAATTCATTTTGGATCAATTTTAGATTTGTAGCAAAGTCTCAAAGTTAGTACAGAGAGTTCCCTTGGACCAGCCATCTAGTCTCTCCTGTTGTTGACATTGTGCACACCCACTGGGTGCCAAGCTCAGAGGAAGAAGAGTCTCATAGCAAGGCACATGTCTGCAAAATTTCAGAAATAGGAGCTTGAGGAGCAGAAAGGGAGGGCTGGGGAACAAAAACGTTTATATATAAAATATTAGAGCTTCTGTTGTCTTCAAACTTATCAATAACTTCATTGGAAGCTAGAAAAGCCTAATCTAATGCCTTTTAAAATTTGGATTGAAAATCGTTTCCATCATGAAATCCAGTATTAAGCAAACTGCATATCAAGTGTGATGTTAGACTAAAGATAATTCCAGAACTGTAGGGTTTTGAAATTCTTCTCTCCCAGGCCCCCTTTGTCAGAAAGTCATCAAGGATTTGTTTCTTTGAAAGGGGAGAAGAAACAAAGGTGGGGAAAGACAAGAGGAGAGGGGAGGGGACATGAAGGGGATGATAGATTATAGTTCCATGGTAACCCACAAACCAACAGTGCAGAATGGGGCAGGGAAATAGAGTTGCCTGAACAATCAGAGGATTTTACTGGAGATGTGCTTGGGGATGAGTTAGTGATAGGTATAGAGAAAATGAAATAAATATAAAGAGCAGAGAGTAGAGTAAGAGCAGAGGATAGTTGTTGAGAGCCACAGCCGAAGGGGCCCCAGCAAACTTCCAGCTGCCAGCAATCCAGCTGCCGGCTGATGATTGGCTCACAGCGGCCCCAGCAACATCTAGCTGATTGGCTCCTCGGCCCCAGCAACATCTAGCTGATTGGCTCCTCTGCGGTGATGCTCATTGGACTGTTTCCCTGCCCTTTCAGACCACGGAGCTGCTCATTGGGGGACTTTTTGGCTCTGCCCACGTGACCCAGCCAATCGGCCTCAAGAGCAGGAGGATTGTGGGAGGTGGAGAGAAGCTTGTGGGGGGAGAGAGAGGCTTGTGGAAAGCCGATGGTGGCAGTTGGGCTCTGAGGGGTTTTTCCTGAGAGGCTGTTTGTTTGGCATGTTTTGTTCTAAAAATAAAGTTAGTTTCTTTTGACAAGTGGCTTCTGATTGTGCCCAGCCAGACTGCGGCAGATAGTTACAGGTAAGCATGGAAGCAGTGGCATGGCTCAGCTTCAAGTTGAATGTGGTCACAGTAACACAAATATCAACTTTATTTCATTAGGAAAAGTCATCTCATGTAGGGTGGATGGGGGAAGGCCGTGGAGATAGGAGAGAGGAAAGAAAGAGCAATGTACTAGATCTTGCATCCCTACACCCAGAAGTCAATAGTTAATTAATTAAAAAAAAATTAAGTAGTAGCAGCAGCAGAAGAGCCTATTATTTTAAATCACAGGGGAGTAAATAACAGAAGAAATGGCTGAAAATGTTCTTGCTAGGGAGTAGGGCTCAGGCATTGGGAGAAATTGCTAAAGAGGAATGCTAGTAAGATTGCGTAACTTTTAAAAAAATGTCCATGTGTTACAGTAAAAGGTAAAAAGTCAACTTAGCACACAGGCTGACCCAGTTGTGTTGGGGATCAGGCAGAGTAGGGGGAAGCAGGTGCAATTGTTCTCTTTGTACAAAGTGACTTGGATTCTTCTTATGGTGGGATCCTTTTCTCTGCCTTCCTTCTTGCTGCACCTACATTTGCATTCTGGGACTTTAGTCTGGGGTGAGAGTCCACTTATTTGCACAGTTGTTTGTCTCCTCTGGCAGAAAGGGTGCTGAGTTCCTGAGAGCTGAAGGCAAAGCTGACAGATCCTGAGGCCATGGCTTTTCCTGAGGGATTTGGATGGGGGGCAGCCACTGCAGCGTATCAAGTGGAAGGTAGGAGAAGCTCCCTCTCCTTTGCCATGGCTGGAATGTTTTGTTACTGGTGGCTCCATATGCCTGGAGATGATGGTCAGACAAGGGGAAAAGAAGAAGAAAAAGGGTCGAAGAATCTGCAGTGTTCTGAATGCAACAGTGCCCCTTTTCAGACAGAAGAGGCCATGTTCCCTTCTGTCTTTCCTCAGGCACCAAGGGTGGGGTGCAGAGGTGCTCATTAAACTGTAGTTTCACTCATTCCAAGTTTATCTGTCACTCCCCTTTTCAGCTGCTTTTATGATTAGTTTCTTGGACATATTTTCCCCAAACCCTTTAAGAAGAGAGGAACATTTCTTCTACCGGTGGGAAAAATATTGAGTAGTTTCCTTCAAAGAGACCTTCATTAGTTGGGAAAAGTGCCCTGTTCCTAGTGAACACAGAGCCAAGCCTAATCTTGTACATGGCACCTCATTTCCTGGGGGAAGCTGAGAAGCAAAGGGAACAACTAATTTTAAGATGGTAACGATAACTCTGAATGGACTCGGGGTCTGAGCCCTGGCTTCCATCCCCCCATGCCTAAGCATGCCAGTATGATGCCCTCCCTGAGTCTCGGTTTTTTCATCTGTAAAGTAGGAAGATTAGCTTTACTTTTCTAAAGCACATCTATTTTTCCCCTAGGGAATAAAAGGTTAATCGCTTATCACAGGGAAAATATTTATTTGGTCAAATAAGTGTGTAGAACTCTGGGTTAAAGGAAGCTAAGTGAGTCTCTTGGAGTAGTTTCCTAGGGTTGCTGTGACAAATTACCACAAGCTGTGAGGCTTAAACAACCAAATTTATTCTCTTACATTTCTGGAGGCTAGCACTTGTCACTTGAAGATGTAATTAGCTAAGTTAAGATGTGATCATAGTGGAGTAGAGTAGGCACTTAATCCAGTATGACTCATGTTCTTTTAAGAAGGAGGAAATTTGGACACAGAGACATACAAAGGGAACAACATGTGACGAAAGAACCATTATAAGCTAAGAAATTCCAAAGACCAGTGGCTACCACCAGAAAAATCAGGAAAGGACACTGCCTAGAGTCTCAACAGGACCATGGCCTTCCTGCAGAACCTGAGTTTTGAACTTCTGTCCTCTAGAACTGGCAGAGAATAGATTTCAGTTGGTCAGGCCACTAGATTGTGGCTCAGCAATCCTTAGAAAACGAATACACCAACCAGCACTGGTAAGTCAGTCAATGAGAACTTCCCCACTTACGGGAAGTGCTGTGGTGGTAATAGGGTATTGTGGTGAAGGGTTATGTATGTCAGCATGGCTCCTCGAGGTTGGATGGCCAAGGAGACTCTGTGAATTAATGTCATTTCATCTAAAAATTGAAGGTCAAAAAGAGGGTCATTTAAAGGAGGATGGGGAAATTTTTCTAGACAGAGATAGAATACAAGTTGATCCTGGCACCACTCAGGCTGCTTATGATTCCCAGCTTCTGCTGCTGTTTCTGAGATGCGCAGACAGAAGAATGAGGAATCTCTGATATACCTGCTCTCCCAGCCATGCAGAAGGTAACTCCTATGGGACATTGTATATTATTGTACATATATGCTCTGGGGTACAAGGCTCTTTTAAAGGAATGTTTAAGAATGTCCTGGTTAGCAGGGATGTCCCTGCCACCTTTCTCACAATGGTATCTTCTTTCATCTTCTCACTGGTAGTTTCTGCTTGGTTAGGGGAGATAATTAAACAGCCTGGCCTTCTAGGAGTAAGGAAAAGAGGAGATGATCTTTGTGAGTTTCTTTCTTGGAAGGGAGGTCAGACAGATCAGAGAGGAGGTGGCAGAGCAAGGGAAGGGCCGAGCCTGGTGACTGTGGACATGGACCGTAGAGCCAGCCTCCTTAGATGTGGTGTCTAGCTCTTCTTTTTACTAGCTTTGTGACTTTGGCAAGTTACTCAAATTTTCTGGACCTCCTGTTAAAAGAGGAAAAAAAATACCCCAACGTTTCAACACATTTCATTTAGCAGAGTTTATCTGAGTGAAGAAAGGATTCATGAATTAGGCAGCACCCTAACCTAAAAAGCTTCAGAGAGGTCCACCCAGCAATGTCATCAGGCAGTATTTACATACAGAAAATGGAAGTTACGTATAGAAATAGCTGGATTGATCTGAATAGGATGTATCCAAGTGCATTCTACTGTCATGTATAAGTAATTAGGAAAAAAAAAAAGAAATAGTTTGGTTGCCACTCAGCCTTGGCCTTGTTTGTATGTATCAGGACAATTTGCAGTTTATGATTGTTTGAAAACTTAGCTTCTATGATTGTCCCAGACTTGATTACTTGTTACAAGAATAAATTCTCAAGTTGGGTTGTGGGTTTGTTTGTATATTAAATTAGATTACAATTCCCTATGTATAGAGGAATGGTTAAGTAAAAAAAAAAATTTTTCTCAGTATTGAGGATTGAGCCCAGGACCTTGCAAATGGTATGCCAGTGCTCTACCACCGTGCCTCAGCCCTAGTTCTTTTTATTTCATTTTGAGACATGGTCTTGCTAAGTTGTCCAGCCTGGTGTTGAACTTGCAATTCTCTCGCCTTAGTCTCCTGAGCAGCTGGGATTATGGGCATGTGTCACCATATCCAGTTAGCTTTAACTAAATTCAATATAATTGAATTAAATTCTCCACATTTGGCCAGTCTATCAAAACTGACCAGAGATTTTGAAAAACTAAACAAAACCCTGGGTTCTGATATCCTTTCTGTCACTATCATAATGGACTTGTTTGGTCTCAGTATATATTTCAGAATTTATGTTGTCAAATTAGTTGGATGGTTCTTTATGCTTTGTTCATGTTTTTGTTATTCTAAACATAATGAGATGAATTCACATTCAAAAGATGGCTGCATACAATCATTTAAGACTTTTGAGTAACTACACTCTACCATGGAGAATGTTATGATGGCTATCAGGAGAAAAGAACAAAGAAATTAAACTACTCTCCTTATAGGAGTCTCCATGCACCAAACTTATCAAAATAAAATAATTTCAAAGTTCAAGCAGTAAAGATTGTTCAGCAGTACTCAAGCTCATCTGGTTATGATAAAGTCACTTGTGTTGGGTATGATGGCAATTAGGGGCCATAATCACTACAAATTTACCTGATTTAAAGAGGCATTGATTTTTGTAGTTAGCCTGTAACACCAGTCATAGTAACCTGGGGACATACAACAATAAACAAATTAGGAAACCCTGGAATAGCCAAGCTCTCCATCCACTACTCAGAATGCCTGCCAAACAATTCTTAGCTATCCCTGGAAGCAAATCATACGTTCTCTGTTCTTGAGAAATTCCCTTAATGTATTTAGTGAGAGTGTCTAGTGTCTAGAGAAATAGTAGCATCAGCCACCTCTTAAATATAGCTTTTGATAGTAGTAAAAATCATAGAAAAGGCAAGTATAACATTCAATTTGGTTCAGTATATACACAAACCAACAATATGGGCAAAGAGTAAATTTACAGCTATGTAATATTAACTTGAGAATTTTTATTGAAAATTCACCTTTCAAAGAGTGTCTTCTAACTCTCTGAACCCCAGGATGTCTGATTGGCCATAAAATCCAAGATTTTCCCCAATTTATGGACTGGCTTTAAATTCAATACAAATGACACTCCACCTCCACTGAGAGTGAATCCCCAGGAATCCCATTGAGACCTTCCCTCAGTGGAAACTAACTTATCTATCTTCATCTATTTCAAGGTTGGTGTTGTTGGTGCTAATTTTGGTTATTGGCTACTTTGGTCTGTGATTATGGGAGGTTTTTTTGGAAGTCTCAGTGGAAACTCTTTGGAAGGCAAGAGTGAGCCAGGCCAAAAAGCAAGATCTAATCGGGGAAGTGAACAAATGAGTAAGCAAACTCTCTGCAGACCAGATAAAGGCACTTGGTGGCTGGAAGAGGGCCACCTAATCGCATCTGAGCAGAGGTCAGTTAAATTTATTTGCTTAGCTCCTGAACAAGGTCCACTGGGAAACTTGCTTTCATGTCATTCTTTTATAGTGTGCTGGAAGGGTAATTACCACGTTGAGTGGAAAGGGAGATTACCGATTTAATTGGTGACTCCATATAAGCAATGACTTATACCCACATAGGTGGTCTCTAGGCCTTGGTAGGAGATGCACATACTTCCACAAGTCTGGAAGCACAATATAATAGTCTTCCATTATCTGTGGTTTACTTTTCCTGGTTTCTGTATCCTGAAGTTTACAGCAAGTGAAAAATGTTAAGTGGAAAATTCAAAAAATAAACAATTCACAAGTTTTAAGTGTTACACTATTCTTAATAGCAGAGTAGTCTTTCTTCTATATGTTTCCTCTTCTCATTTCGGAACAACTAGTCATTGTATGTAGGACAAAAGTGACCGTTTCCCTTAGTCAAAGCACATCTTACTTTCCTTGCATACTTATATACAGAGTTGTTTCCCTTCTTATATAAATTAAAATTACATGCATTAATTAGAAATCTTAATACTTTGTGTTTTTAATTTCCAGTGAACAATGGAAATCAAGTAATGGTAAATTGTCTGTCACACCAGCAACCTGGCAAATCTACAAATGGTTACCTACAGAAGCATGCACTTTCCCATAGTATGGTTTGTCAGTGTGGCACAGTCTGTTTTTATTAATGATCCCAAATATCTTCAATTTCTCTATAAGAAATTCTGGGAGGCAAAATTTCATCTCAATTTTCCATTCCTGATGATAAGAATACTAAAACCTTCTGGTTTGGGAAGGACATATTTTCTATGGAAATTTGATCTTACTTACCTCTTTTAACCCATTTTAGACAATTTTATTAGGATTGATTATAAAGATGAACTGCTAAATAGCCAGTTATCATCTTAAGTTATATATTTTTTTTTACTAATGAAGTTTTTAATATAGAGATAACATAAATTTATTTTCCAAGGAAAACTAGGTAGTAAAAGTTATGCATCCTCATTATATTTAGCACTGAAAACTGTGAAGACACG